TCTCTCTCTCTCTCTCTCTCTCTCTTTTCTCTTTCTCTTTCTCTCTCTCTCTCTCTCTCTCTCTCTCTCTCTCTCTGTCTCTGTCTCTGTCTCTGTCTCTGTCTCTGTCTCTGTCTCTGTCTCTGTCTCTGTCTCTGTCTCTGTCTCTGTCTCTCTGTCTCTGTCTCTGTCTCTGTCTCTGTCTCTGTCTCTCTGTCTCTGTCTCTGTCTCTGTCTCTGTCTCTCTCTCTCTCTCTCTGTCTCTCTCTCTCTCTCTCTCTCTCTCTCTCTCTCTCTCTCTCTCTCTCTCTCTCTCTCTCTCTCTCTCTCTCTCTATCTATCTCTCTCTCTCTCTATCTATCTCTCTCTCTCTCTATCTCTCTCTCTCTCTCTCTCTCTCTCTCTCTCTCTCTCTCTCTCTCTCTCTCTCTCTCTCTCTCTCTCTCTCTCTCTCTCTCTCTCTCTCTCTCTCACACACACACACACACACACACACAGTATACTTACAATATATATCAATGGTCCAGTCATCGGCCAGGACGTGAGGGGGCAGCGATGGGGAGACAGCCTGGCAGGAGAGCACCTTCCCGTCGTCCTCCTGGCGCGGGGTCCACCGTAGTTCACTCAAAGTCACGTTGTCGTCGTCAGTAGCCTGTACGGAGACCATCGTCAGGTTGTCAGCACCTCCACCATCCTCCTCAGTCAACACCACTATAGCCAAGATTTTTTTTAATACAATATTTATATTTTTCCCTCGAGAAATTTGCTTAAATCATTTCGAAATTTGAATTATGTATTTTTGTATTATGTTTTAAGCATACACTTTGTGGGTGTAGGTGTTAGAACTAAAATATCTTGTTGATTGTTCGGTTGGTTTTCCTGCAGGTCAAGCGCTCTCCAGGTGACAGCTTATTTTAAAGCCTAAGCCTTCATGTTTTCCCCAGAACACGATCCGGCAATCGATATACATCCTGGACCCCCATTTACTGCTCGGCGCAGTGAGGGAATGGTGCCAAATCGTCCCTCCCTTTCCAACAACAGGTAGGGTTTGTACCCGGGACCGCTCGCTTTGTGAAGCTAGCATGTAAACCACTACACTAGAGCGGAATACATTATGTTACCATGAGAACGTAGGATGACGTTAACAGATTATTCATTGCACGAAGACACTCAAGGTCGTCTGGGTTAAGCTTCCATAAGAAAACAAACTTGAATGGACTTGCTATAGCGACTTTGTTGTGATGCTTGTTAGTGTGGGCTCCGTGGGATTTGATACTGTTTCTTACGTGCGGGGTAATTGGAGGGGAAGAGGGTGTGAGAGAGAGATGAGAGAGACGTGAAGGGGAGCCGGGAGAGGCAAGGGGTGAGAAAGGATGTGTGGGACATTGAGGTGAGAAGGGCAGGAGAGAAGGGAGTGAGGGGGGAAGGGGGTGCGGAAGTGAAACGGACATTGGTGAAGAGGGAGTCTAGGAGGCGGTGAGTAAGGACGTGGGATTGACGGCGGGAATTGAGAGACGAGAGGTGTGGGGGGAGGGGGTTGTCAAAGGTTCACCTACCTGTTGAGTATGTGAAGTAAGTTCCGAGGTGCCCAAGTGCCAGGTGAAGACAGGGGAAGGCCTAGCACCGACTGCTTGGCACACCAGGCAATATGGCCATCCGGCACTCAGTGGCTCTCTGCTACTCAAGAGACGCACCCACAATGGTGGCACTGAAGATGATTCATTGAATTTGTTGTAACATTAAAAATTTCTGTATTAATTTCATTGAATATTCTCTCCTTTGTTTAAGTTGGTTTTCAGATTTGTATATATTTATTATACTTTTGTGGGTCAAAGATTTGTATAAATTATGCTTGGAAATAGGATTGTAGAGTTGTGGAAACAAATAGATCAGATTTCATCTGTTTCTATGCTCTTACTGTAGAAGTTTACAGACAATTAAGATAACTTACAGGGCAAGTTCAGAGACAATTAAGATAACTTACAATGCATATCGAGGGTGACTGAGACGCTGAGAGGCTGCGTCAGGTTGGAATTAAGGGCTTGGCATGTGAACTCCCTCCGTAGGTCCGCCCTGGCGAGGGCCGTGACCACCAACATGCTCCTCACGTCATCTGCCTCACGTATCTCCGACGTCAGGTCCAGGATCCTTGGCCCCTCCCTCCAGGTGACCACAGGGGCAGGGGAGCCCCCAGTGACGCGACAGATGATCCGGAGGGTGTCTCCTTCTGCGTGAGGACCCGTCATTGCGCCTAACCTCAGGCCTCCTTCGGTGTAAATGCCTATGTTTCTTGGCTGTACTGTGTTAAAGGTTAGGTTTGTTATTTATGTTCAGTTACTCAAACCTGCATAACTAGTTTATTCAATTTAATTATGCAAATGTTTCTTTAGGTGATAAGTACCTCGTCCAATCTATAAACGTTTCCCCGGTGCTAACTACATCGTTCTATTTATAAATACCTTTTCCTTGTCGTTTAGTCTGTCAAGATAATGAAGTCGTTACCTTTTTTTTTACAGGTTATCTGGTAATGTTAATACGATTTCAAGTAACCTACATACAGGAACTGCATAGTGTGGTAATGTATACTAAGCAACGCCTCTCAACAGCCTGTGATCATTAAACCGTGTATGTTCAAGACACATAAACCATTGTGTCCCTGATACATAAAACTATTATTGAAATAATTCATTGTTTACAATCAGTTAGTGGTTCAATAATTATAATATTAAACATTCATTGAATAAATATAGACACAAACCCCAATCACTATTGCCATCTTCCAGGCAGTGAATAGTTTCAATAAGTGTAAACAAACCCTGATCTAGCCAGCAACAATCACCTTGTTCAATATCCTGTATCACGCTGGTCAGTAAGATCCCTCGCCTCGTTCTCCCTACAGCTCTCAAAGATCAGAACAGCCAAAGCGAACGAGCTCGGTGTATACACCAAACTATCAGGTTACCGGGATAGGCTTTCTCCCTTAACGCTAACGAGAGAGCCGACAATGAAGCCACACGTGTTCGGACAGTCTAATTGGAATAAGATAGCCAGCGACGGGGCTCTGAAACCCGTGCAGTCTAATTGGAAAGAGATAGCCGGATAGGAAGAATCTAGTCAACGATTGAACGAAGTGTTGTTTGATTGGAATGTGACACCGGATGGGGGTGGGGGTAGAGCGCTTCTAGTGGAATAAGATGACCCGATTACGTGCAAGATGGATATATTTGTATAGAGTCGAACAAAGAAGTTCCTGATTAGATACGTATGATACGACGGAAGTTATATTGATAATGGTGATGATAGTGAGTTTCTTAACGATAACGGGAGCCACGTGACAATGAATACGAGTGCCAAATGTAATAGAGTTGAGTGCCACTTGATCGTGACTGTGCGTCCCTTGATAGTGGTGATGAGGCTGTAGAAGATAATTGCCTTAGTTAAGAGGACCAGGATAATGATATTAGTTAATCGAGTGAAAGATTATACCGGGTAGTGAGGGAGGTAGTGATAGTGAGGCTGAGTTTGGTGATGTGACCAACATTTGTGGCGACAGTGATTGCAGAATTTTGAAGATGATGAGAGCGTCTGTGGCGATGGTGTATGATGCCAGTAAGCGGTGAAGGTGAGAGTAACTCACCCACGACAGTGAGGTTGGTGGTGAACGTGAGTGTCGGACTGGCTCGAAAGTGAACTTTGCAGGTATATGAGCCTTGATCTCGACCGAGCACCCCCTGGATTCTGAGATAGGAGGCGTAGGCGTTCGTAGGGGCATTGAAGGCGTGCGTGGAGGCGTGGAGGGCGTGCGTGGGGGCGTGGAGGGCGTGCGTGGGGGCGTAGAAGACAGCCCGCGCTCCCAGGTAGTGTGAGTTCCTCCAGTGGGCAGCCGGACCTTCCCTGACGTCGTAGCTGAAGGTAAAAAGAGACAAGATTTGAGTGATGATCATGTTACACTTAACGAAGTTTTGTAGAGGAATAACTTTCAGATTTTAGCATTTTTTACACTATTTTTTCACACTTTTTTATAGAAGTTAAAACTTTAATACACTTTTTTTTTTAATTTTTTCCATTAAAAAAAATACTTTTTACACTCTTTTTATTAAGAAAATTTACACTTTTTTAAATTGAATCTGGCTACGTATAGTCGTAAAAAAGTGAGACCAAATTACAGGCAACTGGATATGACAGGGATTGAAGAACTGGTGAACAAGAGGACGAACTGACTATCTGACTGACTAGTGGACTGGAGGAGGGGAATACCATCTATCTGACAGACTGGAAATTAGGGGTGAGGAGAACTGATATTGTGAGTGAACAAGAAAGGGGAGAATGAACTGATAGTTTGTCTAATGGACAGGAGAGAAAAACTGGCTGTCCGACTGACTGGAGAACAGGAGCGTGGAGAACTGACTGTCTGGCTGAGTGGTGGTCGTGAGAATAAGACTTCGTGCATGACCGGATCGGCCACGCTTCACCCATCCATCAAATACACCGATTTGGTTGGTACGGTACACGAAGATTTGATAACGAGGGATGAGGAACGTGGGACTGGCGGAGGGAGAAGTGGCAGATAAAGAGGAGAAGAGACGTGAGAGAAAGAGAGGCCTAGGAAGGAAGGAAGGAAGGAAGGAAGGAAGGAAGGAAGGAAGGAAGGAAGGAAGGAAGGAAGGAAGGAAGGAAGGAAGGAAGGAAGGAAGGGAGAGAGATAAAAAAGTTAAAATCTGCGTTTGCTTTCATAAAATCTCTTCCTGTGACACATTTCCCTACTCTGTTTGAAATTGAAGATAAGAAAGAGAGAGAGAGAGAGAGAGAGAGAGAGAGAGAGAGAGAGAGAGAGAGAGAGAGAGAGAGAGAGAGAGAGAGAGAGAGAGAGAGAGAGAGAGAGAGAGAGAGAGAGAGAGAGAGAGAAGGAAGGGTACTATTAGTAGAAAGGGTCAAGCCATTAGGACTATATAGCACTTGGAAGGGGTCAGGATATGGATATGAGATGGAACGGGGGGAAGGAATGGTGCCAACTATTTGGATGGTCGGGGACGAACGCCGACCTCCATGACTCGAGACCGTCGCAGAGACAGAGGCAGACATACAGACGACAGACAGACACATTAAAAAAAACATACAGACAGACGAAGGAAAACACACACACACACACACACACACACACACACACACACACACACACACACACACACACACACACACACACACACAAGATAAAAAGAATTACGCAAACATCATGAGATCTTAAACTCACCAGTTACAAATACACAGGACCCGCCGAAAACTTACTATCTAGGACTGCTAGTTAGCTTAGTTCACTTATTATGCACTCCATACCCATCTTGTGGGCGGTAGTGGAAAGGGTTACAGAGGCACATAATGGGCTCAGGGACTGAACCCCACAATTCATTTAGCTAAGCAAGTTACAATCTTGATGAGCTATGCAAGAGGAGCCACACATCTAGGACTGCGCTCCATGTAGACGCTGATAAATAAACACTCACACAAACACAAACACAGGTACAGCCACAACAGCAGAAATGTTCAACGCAATCAGAGAGAATGTAATACCCTCCTTCCTTGCCCAAAATGCTATAGCAATTACAGTACAATTAATTCAAGAGCCTGAACGTAACGACGAAACTCATTACAAGTAATGACCAAATTTCAAAAATATACAAATTTCCAACACCGTACAAGTTGTCTGTAAGTCTCTGACGCGAGGGAAGATATGCCAAGACATGCCGAGGTAAATATTGGTATTATATCTTTAATGTCTTCATAACCTCTAAGGAGGGAAACTGAACTCTTTCCAAGAGAAAACAAAAATATGATATGTAAAATGAAGAGTATGTTTGTGTACTCATCAACTGTGCTCTTCACAGGTGGTATTACTTAATATTAGGTGGTATTAATTACTACCAGGTGTTATTACTTAATATTAGGTGGTAGTAATTATTACCAGGTGTTATTACTTAATATTAGGTGGTATTAATTATTACCAGGTGTTATTACTTAATATTAGGTGGTATTAATTATTACCAGGTGTTATTACTTAATATTAGGTGGTATTAATTACTACCAGGTGTTATTACCTAATATTAGGTGGTATTAATTACTACCAGGTGTTATTGCCTAATATTAGGTGGTATTAATTACTACCAGGTGTTATTACTTAATATTAGGTGGTATTAGTTACTATCACTTTAACTTCGGTAAGAAAAAAGAAGAAAGCAGGTGCTTTTTGTTATCATTCGTCTGTTTAATTACAATGTATGCTAGATCTTTCTTGTTTATTTGGTTGTATTGCATTAAATTGTGCAACATGTAACTGCTATTATAGTCGCCCTGGATACTATTGAAAATATATTGCATCGTGTTGCAGTTGCATTGTTTTAATGTGCATATTCTATTAATTGTCAATGAATTGCATTTTACATATTTAATTCCATTGAATAGCATTGCATTTCATTCATTTGCAAACTATTACGTTACATGGAGCTGAACTGCTCAATATTGCATTGTACTAGAGCCATGATCTACCTGTAGATGGGTTTAGTGACCCCTTGCTTGTACCATAGGGCGAGGAGGGCGGGGTCAGAAGCCAGCGTAGAGGTCAGGTCACAAGGGAGGTCAGCCACACCTCCTTCAGCCACGACCACCATCCGTGTAGGACCTGTGGCAAAAAGAAGTTTGATGGAGGTCTGTCAAGATATCTCTGAGTACTCATTGGTACTCAGTTATGACTATATTATTGTAGTTGGAAGGGAGACACGACAGATATATATATATATATATGTATATATATATATATATATATATATATATATATATATATATATATATATATATATATTCTCAAGTGAAACTGTGTGCTTAAATTTACATAACACGCAGGTGTACAGGACCAATTTTAGACTTTGCGCATTTTATACCAAGAGGAATGGCGAGTTTTTTCAGGGCCAAATATTCAAGGATTTTTTTTTACGCCTTGTTTATGAGAGAGTTTTCAAGTGGTTACGGGCGGAGCTTTGCGTTCTACGGCTAAGTGCTAGTTGATGTAATTAATAGCGCTACTAATACTGTCACGCTGCTATTACTGTGGCTTCTATTGATATTGTTCTTTTGGACTATTATTACTAATACCGCTGCTATTATCTCTACTATTACTAATAATAGCTATACTACCATGTTACACCATAACCATTATCACTATCACTTATTAAGTGATAGTGAAGTGGAGGTGTGTTATGGTGGTGATCGTACTGCTCCTTCCATCTGCCTCACTCTCACTAGTGACAAAATGTTTGTCATCTCTTAAATTCTTGACACAATAGTTGTTCTAACCTAACCTAACCTAACCTAGCCTAACCTAACCTAACCTAACCTCACCACCGCTACCACTCTACCCCTCCACTACCGCCACTCCTTCTATCACTACCACTACCACCACTATCACTCGTTCCTCCACTACCATTACCAGCACTACCATCCCTTTCAACCACCACCGCTTCTTCCATCACAACTACTACCAGCCTCTCTGCCATCTCTTCATCTGCAACACACCAAGAAGTTTTCAGACGAACTTGGTGAGGAAGTTAGAGAGGTAAACTTCCTTAATTAGAAAGCCTTTGATCATCAATTACGAGCACAGTCGTATTAACCAGCTCACCTTCCCTAATGACTTCAGAAATGTACAATATCAAGGTAGTGTTGACCTTAAGACGATGCAAGACTCCTAACCCCGATCAATATTGAGTATCGCGGTAATGTTATTGAAAAGTGAGTCAGTTATCAATTTTGGCCAAACCTTGACACAGACCTCCGTCAGATCTCATCTAAAATCGATAGGGTTTCCAGCCACGCAACATAAGCATGGTAAAAAACTTCCCTCCCCCTCCCCCAGCACCTCGACGTGTTCGGAAGTGCGAACAGCAAGGCTGCACGTCACAGCAGCACTTCGACGTGTTCGTAAGCTGTGTAAACAGCATGGCTGCACGTCACAGGATCACTTCGACGTGTTCGTAAGTTGTGTAAACAGCAAGGCTGCACGTCACAGCAGCACTTCGACGTGTTCGTAAGCTGTGTAAACAGCAAGGCTGCACGTCACAGGATCACTTCGACATGTTCGTAAGCTGTGTAAACAGCAAGGCTGCACGTCACAGCAGCACTTCGACGTGTTCGTAAGCTGTGTAAACAGCATGGCTGCACGTCACAGGATCACTTCGACGTGTTCGTAAGTTGTGTAAACAGCAAGGCTGCACGTCACAGCAGCACTTCGACGTGTTCGTAAGCTGTGTAAACAGCAAGGCTGCACGTCACAGGATCACTTCGACATGTTCGTAAGCTGTGTAAACAGCAAGGCTGCACGTCACAGCAGCACTTCGACGTATTCGTAAGCTGTGTAAACAGCAAGGCTGCACGTCACAGCAGCACTTCGACGTGTTCGTAAGATGTGTAAACAGCAAGGCAACACGAGCTTAACCAATAAATCAGCGCCAGTTAATTTCACACAGTGAGAAACAATTGAAAAGATAAATAGCCAAGATTTCTTTGGTGCTGTCAGTCCAAGGTGCAATCTGCTTTAAGAATCCACATATTTTACCTGTTTTCCGGGCCCCGTGTGTGTGTGTATGTGTGTGTGTGTGTGTGTGTGTGTGTGTGTGTGTGTGTGTGTGTGTGTGTGTGTGTGTGTGTGTGTGTGTGTGTGTGTGTGTGTGTGTGTGTGTCTGTGTAACAAAAGCCTTATATCATTACATTTGTTCCTTTGAGAGCCGGTAAGGAAATCCAATTCAATTTGAGACGATGACTACTATGAAACAAGACGAGACCTGATTATATTTTGGTGGGTGTAGCTTGCGTGTTATTGCGTCATTTAGGTAATATTTACTTTTTATTATGCAAAGCCAAACTTGACCACACGCAAATGTCACAGTTACGTGTGTGTCTTCTTTTATTATTGTCTGTCTGTCTGTCTGTCTGTCTGTCTGTCTGTCTGTCTGTCTGTCTGTCTGTCTGTCTGTCTGTCTGTCTATCTGTCTATATGATTGTCAGTTCGTGGAAAGTCTTAATGTCACTCCAAAACATAAGCAATTTCTAACTTAACTAACCTTTCCTCTTTATGACGCTCGTAATGCTAATTATAGATCTCCCAATTCTTCCAGTTCATGACCCCTCATGACATTCTCTCTCTCTCTCTCTCTCTCTCTCTCTCTCTCTCTCTCTCTCTCTCTCTCTCTCTCTCTCTCTCTCTCTCTCTCTCTCTCTCTCTCTCCCTTTTTCTGCCAAAATTGTTTGGCTTCAAGTTAATCACTAAACTTTGAGCCTGGTCTCGTAATTCACATCAACAGCCCAGTTAGAGAACCAGCCTCGCAAGGTCTGATGGTCCACACGTAGTTGAGTCTAAATAACTGATTCAAACACATATAAAAAGGCAGAGACTTTATCTTATCTATACAAGATAATAAGAACACCATTATCATCATTATAATTATCGTCGTCATGGTCATTATCATTATATAGCATCACATCCCACCCCACCACGTAACACCACACCACGTCACATAACATCATACTATGCCACAGCACATCATAATATGTCACACCATGTAACAGCACATCATTATATGTTCTGCCTGCCAATACATAAATGGCGTCAATAGAGCACAACGGATGACATGACTTCGGGTGAAACGACGCAATTTCATATATGACTCGATACCAGAAAAATGCGACGTGAAACGACCAGGCAATACAACACAACACCTTCACAGATAATGCGATGTATAATACAACACACTGCGATGCATAATACAACGCCATGTCGTGTGATACATTTAATGTTGGCATCGACCCAGCATAATCCGTTAAAAAAATAAGCCTCGTAAGCTCGTCTCTAATGGGTAAGCTCCTCCCCCCTTCTGGACTAGTCTGTTGGGTCTTATTTGCTGGTCTGGTCGTCTCTTACTGCTTTGGTGGTCTCTTACTGGTCTGGTAATCTCTCTTACTGGTTTGGTGGTCTCTTACTGGTTTGGTAATCTCTCTTACTGGTTTGGTGGTCTCTTACTGGTCTGGTAATCTCTCTTACTGGTTTGGTGGTCTCTTACTGGTCTGGTAATCTCTCTTACTGGTTTGGTGGTCTCTTACTGGTCTGGTAATCTCTCTTACTGGTTTGGTGGTGTCTTACTGGTTTGGTGGTCTGCTGACTTTTCACGCTGGTCTAATTATATGGTCAAAGAGAGACAGGCAGCCAGACACAGACTGATAAACAGATGAACAGGGAGAGAGAGAACGCCATTAACGGAGAGAAAAGGACACTTGAAAACAGACAGAAAAAAGCAAAATACATATAGACAGACAGATAGACAAGACAGAAGGAAAGGAGGGTTAGGAGCGCTTGTGGGATCCCCCATCATTAGCTGATTGGTCCAGGGAGTTCCGGAGATTGTGGAGGCAAGATCCTTTTTGTTTTGATTTTCCTGTTTTCTGCTCCTTTCCTCTCTTGGTAAAAATATATTCCAGGACATCAGCGCCTCTGCTATTGCCGCAGCCGCGGTGTTCAGCGAAGTAAAGGAGTTTCAGAATTTCAATTCTCTCTGAAGAGCTTTAGAACTCTGAATTTCACATTTTCCACTATTCAATAAAGGATTTTTTTTAGGGGGGTATATCAAATATTTTTTTTTATTATATCGCAGGTTACGGTAAGGCAAAGTATTATATCGCTGTTTATTATAAAAGCAAATTACAAATTGAAGTTTAACGCAGGTTGTAGGACCTGCGAAGCAGCATGACGCAATTGGTAGCGCCCTTGTGAAGCAGCATGATGCAATTCGTAGCGCCCTTGTGAAGCAGCATGATGCAATTGGTAGCACTCTTGTGAAGCAGCATGACGCAATTGGTAGCGCCCTTGTGAAGCAGCATGACGCAATTGGAAGCATTCTTGTGAAGCAGCATGACACAATTGGTAGCGCTCTTGTGAAGCAACATGACGCAATTGGTAGCATTCTTGTGAAGCAGCATGACGCAATTGGTAGCACCCTTGTGAAGCAACATGACGCAATTAGTAGGACCTTTCTGAAGCAGCATGACGCAATTGGTAGCACCCTTGTGAAGCAGCGTGACGCAAGCAGCGGCTGCCTTGGTCGTGTACCCCGCAAGAGTTACAAAAACCACCAAAGTTCGGAGTCAGCTTGAAAAGATTTCCAGTTTCAATATGGACTAATGGGAATAAAAGCCCAATGAATTCTCCGGAAAGCCTTAAACGCAGACCCTTAGGTAAACAGCCCGTCCTTATTAAAAAATTCAAGAGAGGCCAAATGTTCGTTAATCCTGCTGCTAAACCACTTGTTAACGAATGAAATACGCACAACTCACAACTGATGACGTTCGAACTTTTCTCGAATATTGCTTCGATCATTCTCTTCCCATGTTCGAATTCAAATCTATAAATGCTTCACCCAAGTATTAAATACCCAACCCGTCCTCAGCCCACAACCCATCCTCGACTCAAGTCCATTACATTCAGCGGTCAACCCCACAGACGCATTCATAAATTTTTACATGCTGTTCATTCAAAACGGGAATTTTCTCAAGTATAAATTAATATTATAATATATTAGCATATTGTGCATATATAGGCATAGGTTAGGTTAGGTTAGGTGTTTAGGTTCTGTTGGC